CGAGTGCTTTGAAGGCGCTCTCAACTTCCTCGGGTGGATAATCGTCGTTGGTCCTTCGAGACATCACCTTCGAGGGATATGCAAGTCTCGATAACATTGAGCCGTGCGGGAAATTATGCACAAGGTCAACCACATATGTTGCCAACAAGTTATTGGTGACAATGTGAAAATTCTGAGAGAATTTCAAGAACTCCTTGTGGGTTTCGGGTTAGAATATTTAATATTCTTACCGAATTCGTATATGAGCACTTCAGTTCAGCTGAGGGGAATAAAGATATATTCCTCCAACACTAACCCGGTGCAAAACATCCTCACTTGCACGAACTCCTCAAAGTCGATCTCTCCATTGTCATTCTCGTCAACATCGGCTACCATAGCCTCAACTTCATAAAGTGTCACCTTCAGCCCAAGAGTTTCCATCAGTGCTCCAAGCTCCTGATGAACAACGACGGCCACTACGAATGGATCGTGGATGGGAAATTCCGAAAGAGGTCAGCTAGTCTTCTTGCGCTGAGTAGCTCCACCTTCCAAACAACCAACTCGCCCGGCCGCAAACATGAAAAGTCAGAAAGAGTTGGATGAGTAAACCGTCAAGCATTTAGCAATTTTCGAGCTCCAATTATGCGGGTGCTAGATTGACAGTCTTGATCTCAACCGGTGATTCAACACGCATTATTTTTCAAGATCGGTTTTGAAGCCTGGTTTTTGGGACATCATATGGATATACGAATACGATCAATGGGTTAACGATAGTGTTCGGAAGTGCGCTGTTGAGACTTCTTCAACCTTACGCCAGAGTTTATGCTTCCGCCTCCGTCGATATCAACCAAACTGAATACCTGGCAGGAACGGTGCTGGGGAAATATGCGTTCGTTTTTCTCCGGAGCGCCCCCACTCATTGTGACCCCCATAATGTGGAGGCCTATATACGCATTCGGGTGGAAGAGTACAGGAACCAACGAACGTTTACCGAAATTTCTTCGCAACTTCCATATTATCACCAACACATGTAGTTTACCATTTGCGTATTCCCCCACACTGGGCATGAATTCTCTCGTATTATCAGTGCTCTTACGAACTTTGCGAAGCGTAATTGCAGCGAGCGATGATCAATGCTCATTCGATAACGTGTGCATAACAGTTAATGCTCCTACTCGTCGTGCGCGATTGCATGTATTTGCATAGCTAATCATCTGTCCCCTAAATAGATCAAGATAGAGATCTTTACACTGCAAAGTTTACAGCTTCTACTGACGGTGTTATCGACTAAGCGACAGTAATACAGGTGCCGTTACCTCTCTGAATTCTTCCAAGTCCTGTAAGGAAATGTGCATCCTTTCAGCCAATTCAACTAACTCGCGGTTGTTCGAATGAATGACTTCCTGATCAGAGTCACTTGGCGGAATCGGGTTTCTGGAACTCTCGTCTGGAGTGCCGGAACGATGTCGCCTCATCGCGAGCTGATCCAGAGAGTAGCACTAAATGCTTCAAGCTGATCAGATCGGCTCGAATTCGATGAGCATGGAAACCCTCATGGGAATGATGATCCCTAACATGTGCAATGTATAGTATTGTGCTGATCTTAGAACACCGGGTTTCCTGGATATTGCTCTGAGACGAGGTTGAGTGGCGATATGAAACTCGCGAGTACAGTGCGTGCCAATCTGATATGCGAATGCAATAAATGTGCATTTTCTTGAAATTAATGATAATCGCTCTGATACTTCGCATAATCATACCGATATGTCCTCCCTGGGAGGACATATCGGAAAGGGAAAGGGAGGACCTCCCTTAGTTGTCAGGTTTTTTTCTACCCGAAGATTCATGGATTGAGTAGTCACTGCGATCGCAGTAGTCGCAAGCTGCGACTCGCAATGCACTTTTCCAACTACGATTGGAAACTACATTACAGAAATTATGGAATTAACGGAAGTCCGCATCTCGTGGGGTGATTGAGTAAGTGCAAATATGCAAGAGTTCTTCGGTGCGCCCCACTGTCCCGATCAGGGTTGGCATAGAGGTTGCGCTATTTTTCCTTCCGGAAATTTCCGGAAGGGAATTTCGAGCGATGTATGCCCGGGCAAAGCGCGTAAATCTCCGACTATTATGAAGAGTACATCTAAGATGTAACATCTTCGGCAACACCTCTTGACAAAAGGCTTTTGTGCATATGCCCGACAAATCTTGATCCACTAGCCACTCGTGGCAAGGGTATGAGAATCACATTGTATGCCACATTTTCTCTCATAATGAGAGAAAATGTGGCTTACAATGTTCTCGACTTTGACTCATGACATAAGTGCCATGATTTAATGGGTTGCGTTATAGTGAATCGTAATCGATTTTGTCTCGAAGAATACATAGAGCCTAGTACTTCATGAAGTCTCAACGATTTCGTCGCGGCAAACGACACTTTGAAGACACGGAGGAATGCTCCAGGGTAGAAGAGTACCACATGCGGACAGTGATATTCGAGAGAGTACTAACTCCGAATGTGGAGCCTTCGCAGCGTAGCTGAACACTATCTGAGAAAGCTTCGTTGGCAGAAATATATCGGAATTTTCGTCGGATTGCATCAGATCGAGTGGAAATAATTTTCTCGAAAGTGCGCTATTTTTCCACTATTTTTCCTATTTTCCAGCGGAAAATTGCCAGAAAGAGATATAATCTATTTTTCCACGTTTATGCCGATACTGGTCCCGATTCACTGATTTCTTAGCCTACAGCGAGAAATCACGATCATCGCGGCCATATGCGGATCCTGATTCGCGTGGATGATGCGAGCAATGTGATTAATGTTGTTGCCCGCATGTAGCGCAATTAGAAAACTCTCAAGTGCGCAAGATTTCTATGGACTACACCTTGTGACGAACTAGATAGTCCGCTGCATCGAATACTATGTGTGGGGAGGTTCCCAGAGGTTGTGGTTCAAGTGGATGTAAATCACACACAGTAGTCGGACGGCAGCAGATGTGTCGCAAAGGGTTAAGCCTAGAGGTAGGCAAGGAAGTACCTATGAACTGTTGAAGGCTTAAGGTAGAGCAAATACGACACGTTCGTCAATACTTCGATGTTGAATGCCGTGACTCCGACTCGAAGGAAACGCAACTAGAAGAACCAGTTACGAAAGGGGCTAGTCGAAACGCTTGATAGTCTAGAGATCTACTGTAACCAAGGAAGGCACAGTAGGCAAATCTCACGAGAATATCACGAATCACAAGTAATGAATCTTCTAATCTCTTCTAATCTTCAGATCAAAAGGAGACAACCGTTTCAGCCGTTTCAATATTGGAATGCACTAATTGCATGTAATCCGAGCGAAATCAGCAAACCACAGTTGGGCTGTTGAATAGTCGATCAAAAAAGGGGGTATCAAATTGATACTATCAATAGTACTAGCTCATCTATCAGCTTCTTACTGGCCATTGGTGGGCCTATCTCGGACGGGACGTCCGACACACCGCCTGTGTTGTTCTCCATAGACATCGGGAACACGACGCAGACCAGCGTATAAAGATACAGGTAACAGAGCAGATAACCGGTTGACGAGACTTGACGGATGACTGAGAGCAGATGTAGAGGCGATATAGGGATCAGGGGGACGGGAGCAATAGAGAGGACGAAAAGGAAGAAGAAAGAAGTGTGCTGTTGATCAAATAGTGGGAGTTATCCCACCAGACACATGAACAATGACTCGATCAACTATCCAATAATGACGATGCTTGGAACGTTTCAGAGCGAATATCTGGCGTGCGCGGACCATTAATGGGCTGAACGCACGCCACAACCTTAACTCGTCCAAGATAGACAAGTGAACAAGTTTGGTGGCGTTAGACGCAAGAATGCCAGCGTGCTACACAAGTACGACAGTGTCAAATTGACACCTTCTCAGATGTTACATTCAAGGTTGCCAGAGTGACATTCAACTTTGACAATGAACGCTCAAGTTTAACAATATATGCTCAGGTTTGACAACAAAGCTCAACTTTGACAATAATAAACGCTCAAGTCTGACAATATACACTCAAGCATGTTGTCAAACTTAGAAGTTTAATAAACTGATCGTTCGATGGTCGTGAACTTTGTGTAATTTGTCTCATTAGCTAGAGTGTCTCATAGTTGTTACTCAATGAAATGGTTCCACCATTGTCAGTGACATTAATTGTCAGACGATTTATCACCTCTGTCGAAGGTTATTGTATTTTTTTCTGGTGGCTTACCTTGCTAATGTATTCTGGTTATGATGTCCAGATCCCGGGCTCGGTCGGATCTGGAAGTTAGCGACCGCCCATTGGATCAGAAACGGTTGGCCAACCAGTGGTGATGACAGATATTTGGTTTGGTTTTGATGATCTATGGGACTCCTGTAGCGTGGTATATAAGCAATTAATAATGAGTTAGTGATAGTGTGCACGCATGAGTCCATGTTGAGCCGTAGCCGCCTTGGCTCAAGTTCGTTTTGTTCTAATCTCCACTCCCCCCTCCCTATCGCGTTCCTCAGTACTGGGAAGGTTCAACTAACATGATATCAATGATTTGGATGAGCTGGATGAGTTGGATTATAGTGAGGATATGGGAACGAGATCCTGGGCTCCTTGGGGTTACCCTCTGTTGAACGAGTTCGCGAGACCAACGATAAAGGGACTTCTCCCGAGAAGAGCATTTTGGGTTTCTCTTTGGAACCGGTCTGAAAATAACTCGTGACAATTGTCCTCCGTCAGTCAAGGGCCTTGACCCAAGGCTGCCGTTCTGTGGTGGTCGACACAATTATTGTCAATAATATATTTATGCTGTAGCGGCTACAGTGTAGCCGAAGCATTATGCTCCTTTAGCCGATCCACACTGTTTGCGCCATTGTAACCTTAGCGTTCAAAATGTTGCATCCACGTTCACCTCTCAACTTCTCTACTTGAAGTAGGAATAACTGGAAATGATTATCCTTTCCCCATTGATGTAACCTGTGCCCTCGAGCAATCAGTTATACCTTCACGCAGTTGAACGCATACATAATACGTTTTTCTGTGCCTGGATTAGCTTCGGTGGAGAGTTACCTCTGACACTTACCAGGGTGGAAGACGAGATAACGCATCTCGTTGTCCACATTCCCTCCCGACCAACTAATGGAGACTACTCTTCCCTTGGGTTCGTTGGAGAGCCCAGGGCACAAATTGCCCTTCCAGCGATCGCATAGCAGATTAACACGTCCAACTGCACATGCGTGCAGAACTCCTGCGGACCCAGGGTGTGAGCACCCTGTGAGGCTGATAGCTCAATCCTACTCCGCCAATGCCGAGCAAGACTCTCTCTTCGTCGGGTTGTACTTCCCACCATAATTTTCGGTAGTTACGTATTGTTGCCTCCCCATTACCCATCCG